GGTGAAAATCCTGACTCTACTAGGCCTTCTCTGATGCCATACTGGTGGGGAGAGAGTGTAAAACCATTTTACTGCTGGGTGGGCAGGAAGTCCAAATTCCCACATGGTCTCTGACACTGTGGCTGTAGTGGTGGGGTGCTTGTTACCTCCTGGTGGGAAGGAAATCCTAGTTTCCTACTTGGCCCCTCTGACACCATTCCACAAGGAGTGTTCAGGAACCTTATTACAGCTTGGCAAGGATGAAAGTCTGGGCTCTCCAATGGATCTTTGCTGAGAGTGGGATCACAATTTTTTATGTGGTTTCTGGCTGTAGTATGGGAGGTTTGTCTGAAGGTTTTCCTATGCCTTCCTCTTTCCTGGTCCAGGTATGTATTTTCTTTTGTATGTGCCTACTGGCATTTCTGGATTGCAGTTTACTTCAGCTCCAATACAAGGTTTTTAAGGCAAAAAGATAACCCAGGGAACTTCCACCATGTTGCTCCTTGGGTCCTGAGATCTTGAGCTAGTTTGTCTTCTTCTTTCTAAGATTCTTTCTGAATCTTCTATATTTTATAGATAGTTCTAGATTTTTAATTGTGATTACCAAGAAAAATATAAAAAAAGTACAACCGCTCCATTTTCCCAAAGTAGAAGCTTCTCAAGTTGTTATTTTAAGCTTTTCTCTAAATTCCAATGAGTCCATTTCTGTTGCATGTGGTTGATTTACCTTGGTTTTTGGTCATGTTGTCCTATTTCATCATATGGCTGGTTATTTGGGGTTGCTTGCCAGATACTATATACAGCAAACTTTAGTGATAGTTTGAGCCTGCATATATATTATTTTTGTCCAGAGAGGATTTGCCAATAGTAGGCAGCTAGAAAAATACTCTGAAATACTTTAATCACAGTTTCAGATAATTCTAAGTGGGGCTTTAGGCCATTTTAGGACTGTTTCATTTATGGTTTACCCTCACTCATAGAGTGGATCTAACTCAAGGTAAGAGTGGTGTGCCTGGCCTATGGAGTCCTCCTCCTAGGGCAGGCCATGAACTTTAACTCTTGTCTCACTAGAACTGTTACTTTATTGAAAGCTGTGCTCACCCTCTCTGTCTACTTTGTTAACTGTCAGACAGCTGCCTATTCTATACAGATGCTTCTGGTGAAATGCATCCCCTAGAAGACACAGGGCTTATGTCTCTTGATTCCCATCTTCTCCTAGGTATTTGCCCTGTAGTAGTTCTTGCTCTTGTTCTTCTTCTCCATCTTTGTTTTTATTTTTATTTTTATTTTTTGCATCAACAAGAATACTTTAACCTTTAAATCTGACATCAACAAAAGATGCCTGTGCCTTTTCCAAGTCTCTTAGGATAGGATTCACTTCAAGTATGAATAAACTAATTTCATGAGACATAGTGACATTCAAGTCCCCACATAAACACATAACTTATCTTTTTTTTTCTAGTTTTACTGCAAATAATTGGCATACAAGTTTAAGGTGTATAGCATGATGGCTTGATTTACATATATTATGATATAATTATCACAATAGGTTTAGCTAACATGCCCATTTTTAAATATAGATACATTTAAAAAAAGGAAAAAAAAGGAAAAAAAATCCCCTTAAGATGAGAACTCTTAGGATTTACTCTCAACAACTTCTATATATTGCATAGCAGTGTTATAGTCATTGTGTTGTACATTACATCCTTAGAGTACCTATTTATCTTATAGCTAAAACTTTGTACCTTTTCTCACTTTCCTCCAATTCCCCATCTCCCTACCCTCTGCCCCTGGTAATCATAGGTCTCATCTCTTTCTATGAATTCGGTGTTTTTTATTTTGGTGTTGTTTTTGAGATTTCACATATAAGTGAGATCATACAGTATTTGTCATTCTCTGTCTGACTTATTTCACTTAGCATAATGCCTTCAAGGTCCGCCTATGTTGTTGCAAATGATAGGATTTCCTCATTTTTTAATGGCTGAATAACGTTCCATTATCCCTTCATCCAATGAAGGACATGTTTCTATATCTTGGCTAATGCTACGAACGATGGGGCTACAGATATCTTTTTGATTTAATATATTCATTTCCTTCAGATATATTAGCAAAAGTGAAATTACTGGATCATCTGGTAGTTCTAGTTTTGATTTTTTGAGGATCCTTTACTCAGTTTTCCACAGTAGTTGTACCAATTTATAATTCCACCAACAATGCACAAGCGTTCCCTTTTCTCCATATCCATGCCAACATGTTATCTCTTAGTCTTTTTGATGATGGCCATTCTAACAGGTGTGAAAGTAATCTCAATGTGGTTTTAATTTGCATTTCCCTAATGACTAGTGACGTGTATTCGTACATGTACTTGTTGGTTGGCCTTTTGTCTATTCAGGCCCTTTGACCATTTTTAAATTTTTTTGTTGTTATCAAGTTGTAGGAGTTATTTATATATTTTGGACAGTGACCTCTTATCAGATATATGGTTTGCAAATATATTTTCCCATTCTGTAAGTTGTCTGTTTTTTTTCTTCTGTGTAGATGATTTCTTTTGCTGTATGGAAGCTTTTAAGTTTGATGTAATCCCATTTGCATATTTTTATTTTGTTGTTTGTACTTCAGGTGTCATATCCAAAAAGTCATTACCAAGACCCATATCAAGGAGCTTTATTCTTATGTTTTATTCCAGGACTTTCATGGCTTCAGATTTTACATGAAAATCTTTAACCCATTTTGAGTTAATTTTTGTGAGTGATATAAGATATGGATCCAGTTTCATTCTTTTACATGTGAATATCCAATTATCCCAGCGCCATTTATTAAAGAGACTATCTTTTCTCCATTGGGTATTCTTGGCTCCTTTGCCAAATATTGGTCAACTGTATATGCTTCAGTTTATTTCTGGGCTTTCAATTCTGTTACATTGGTCTCTCTGTGTTTATGCCAGTACCATCCTGTTTTGGTGACTACAGCTTGATATCAGGAAGTGTGTTCCCTCCTGCTTTGTTCTTCGCAGGAATTCTTTGGCTACTCTGACTCTTTTGTGGTCCATATAAATTTTAGGAGTGTTTTTTCTACTGTAAAAAAAAAAAAAAAGCTACTGTGATCTTGATAGGGATTGCACTGAATCTAGATGGCTTTTGGTAGTATTTACATTTTAACACTATTAATTCTTCTAATCTATGAACATAGGGTGTCTTTCCATTTATTTGTACCTTCCTTGACTAGAATTAGTGGGAAGTCGACTTTGGTTTTTGGATAGACTGAATTTGATATATCTGTAAGGTACTTAAGTGAAAGCGGTAAGAGTGGATACCTGATTCAAGATATTAGTTGTGAGGGGGGTGCCTGGATGGCTCAGTCGGTTGAGTGTCCGAATTCAGCTCAGGTCATGATCTCACAGATTGTGAGTTCAAGCCCTGCGTGGGGCTCTGTGCTGACAGCTCAGAGCCTGGAGCCTGCTTTGGATTCTGTGTCTCTCTCTCTCTCTGCCCCTCCCATGCTCATATTCTGTCTCTCAATAATAAATAAACGTTAAAAAATTTTTTTAAATAAAAAAAAGATATTAGTTGTGAAGGTAATTCCTAAGAGAAAGAGGATATATTAAGAGACAGGAGCTGAGTATAAAAATATTAGCGAATGAACATATATGTAGGAGGTGAGTTAAGAGGAAAAACCCTTTAAGTAAATAGGTGACAATGCCAAGTAGGGGGGAAAAAGCCTCAGAATGTAACTTAAGGGAAGATAAGGAGGAAGAGAGTCTGGAGAAAAAAACCCAATTATCAACATTGTCAAATGTGGCTGAATGGCCAATCAGGCTTTGGAATGAAAGCGTTTATAATAAATACCATCTATCTTCTGAGTAGTAAAAGAAGCAGGAATGTGGAGGGCTGGACAGTGTAATTTTTAAGAGAGAAGAAAGAGTCATAAAAAAAATGGAGACAATTTTAAGTTGTCATTGGGAGAGATAAAAAAATTTATAAAGAGATTTGAGGTCTCAAAAGAAGCAGGCAATCAATATCTGAGTGGACATAAATTTGCAAAATTTTGTGATTTTTTCCAACAAAATCAGTATCTTGTGATGAACTCAAGAGAGGGAGCTAGTTTTCAGGAAAGCATGAGAAATTCATTTGTAGACAATTTTAAAGATTCGTAAACATATGGAAAATAAAATGGAGTCTGCAATAAGATTTGGGAGTTAGTTACACAGAAATGATAGTTTAAGCCAATGGTATAGTAGATATTTATATGTCATAATTTCTATCAGTAAAAAAAATAGGTTATTTTATTTCTTACAGAGAAATAATAACTAATCTAAAAATAGTTTCTATCTCCGTTAAGTGTGGATTCATTTTTGAGAACTTTAAAACTGTCCTATTTTAATCTGAAGAATAATCCTATTACAACCAAATGGCTATCAGAATCCTAAAATTGTAATTAGCAAGAGGATATTCATGAAATTTGCCAGACTTGCAAATGTATGCTTGAGTACAGCAGTTACTGAACCAATATTATGGAAAAATTCTCCCATTCCTGCCTCTCTGTATAAGCAATGCATTATTTGGAAAAAACAACAGCAAACAAAACATGTGCAGGGCTATTATTTACCAGTAGTACATGGGCCACAATTATTTATGATCAATTTCTGTTCTCATTAGTTAAGTGTTTAGGCTGTACTGGTTGTGAAACATTTTAAATGTAACCCTTGCTATATGATAACATTATATTCACTGAACTACTTATATATAACATTTCATTACTTCTAGAATTTTAAATTATAATTGACCCAGACTATTTTATCATTACACAATGCTTCAGGACAAAAAGGAAACATTAGAGCCCCCACTTTAATAATGATTAATCTAAGATACAGTTGCTGCATACTTCTTTGTTACTACTGACATTATGCTCAAATTCAAAGCTTCTTTTAAAAAAATAGTGATGTTGAATAAATTCACCTAGGCTAAAAATCACTTCACTTGTAAGACAACAGAGTTATCCTTATTAAAATAAAATCCTCCTACCATTTGGTGATGCCATAACATTCTTTAATAATATCCTGAAGGACAGCTCGATAGAAGAGTGATTCAGTAGGCAGCTGAAAAAAATGTAGATAAATATAAGCACAAGAAACAAATAAAAAACATAAATCAAATCAATACTAGAGAGTCAGGAACATAAGTGAATGTTAGAAATCTGACTTTATTGCAAAACATGGAGGAAACTTTTATAATTTTTCCATTCTAAGTTAAATTGTTACCCTGAGGCTAATACTGAGGAAGCAATCTGCATGAAAATAGAAGAAACTATAAAAGAAATGGTAGTGAATGGGGGAAGAAACAGCACAATCAAACAAAAATGAGCTAATGTCCCAAATGCAGTGCATTCAGTTAAAAATGTAGAAATAAACTTTCATGACCAGCAAGATCAGCTCTGGAGCCAAAAAGAGAGCAGTAAGGTAGAATACGTGCAAAAGAGAAGTGAACATGGATTTGTCCTAATGGTGGTGGAACAGAGATCATATCACCTAGGATTCACACCCAGAAGGAGAAGATACTATTGTAAGTAAGGACATGCTAAAAGTATGTCTGAGGTCTAAAAGATCATAGCATTGGCTACTGTAGAATTGAAAAGGGCATGTCTTTTTGTCCCTCAGGAAGGATATAGGATTAGGTATCCATGAAGGTTTTCCAAAGCAAAGAAGATATGGATGAAGAGAAGGGCCTCAGGGAAGCATGATAGTTTTGAAAAAGTATAAAAGAAAACACTTCACTGAAACAAGGGAAGGGGGCACTTAAACTAAGAAACTACAAAAGTCGCCCAAACTCTATCCACATCCCCACAGAACTCTTAATGACAGTGTAAATAAATCCAATACAAAATAATATCAGCAACAGTCCTGCTTCCATGCAGTTTCTAACGAAAAAAAAAGGGGGGGGGGGAAATGAGCCAGAGTGGAGGGAGGCCAACAATATTGAATGGTCCTGAGAAGGCTAATAAGGTGAAAACCCCAAACTGTGCAATGACTGGTAGTTTTAAAGACAGAGTTCAGTACACTGTACAAATTCCCTGAGTCAAACTTCTTTCGCTTTTCCTTCAGAGCACAACATTGTTATTTTCGTCTGTTTTCGACTAGAATATGTTTGGATTCAGACGGAGTCTAGCATAAAATACAATTTTGCCTGTGTGCTCAGATAGAAAACTTACTCTACTGCTCCTCTCCCCATCTGACCTCAAGTTCCTACACTGTGGGCCCCAGGCGCTGAGGCTACAAAAAAACACAAGTTGGGAGCTGAGGGTGAACCATTATTTCTTGCATCTTCACCTAATGGCACTGACTTCTTAAATCACTGGAGAATGTCTGACTTGCAGGATTTTGACAGAGCACTTGGAAAGGGCACGTGTTATATCCTTCCAAGATGGTGGGGATAGTGGGGAGGGTGATTCTAGTCGGAAATGGTGTTAGGAATATCAAAGTCCCCAGTTCAGCTCCTAAAATAATGCACTGAAAGCAGACATACTTGAATACTCATAAGAAATTTGTAACCTTCAAAAGGTATACTTCTTAAATAAAATCTCTTTCTAAATGCAACGCCTTGACGTAAGACAAACTCTGATTTGTAAACTTTCTTTCTAGAAGACTGCTCCAAAACATATCATTCAAAATTTTCCATCTCTGCACATATTTTTCATTTGGCATTTTTTTCATCTTGAGTAATTCTTTTTGTAGCACCAAAAATCTCTATCATCCATCCCTTCCTTCTCCCCATATCCCTTCAGTTTTCTCACAAAAATGCTGAAATCCTCTTTCATATATTGACACCTATTTTTCTATTGACATTTAAGGCATTTTTAGAAATATATTATTACATGAAGTAAAATATTAGTATTATAAATGGTTTATAAAGTTCTTAACTTTTTATTTAGTTAGCTATACAATAAACAGGAACTTTAATTTTACATGAATTTTCTTTTTTTTTTTTTTCCAACGTTTATTTATTTTTGGGACAGAGAGAGACAGAGCATGAACCGGGGAGGGGCAGAGAGAGAGGGAGACACAGAATCGGAAACAGGCTCCAGGCTCTGAGCCATCAGCCCAGAGCCTGACGCGGGGCTCGAACTCACGGACCGCGAGATCGTGACCTGGCTGAAGTCGGACGCTTAACCGACTGCGCCACCCAGGCGCCCCTTACATGAATTTTCTATGAAACTTCCAAAAATAGTTGAGCTGGTATTTGAACTGAAGAAGCCTAGCTCTGATGTCCACTTATAAAGCCATGATGCTATATGGCCTCTTGGACACTTGGGCAGGGATGGTGTCATTAGTTTTTATTCAATACTTCAGTCAGGAAAAAAAATCTTAAAAATAAAGCTTTCCATACCTATGCCTTTGAGAAAAATTATATAAACGGTATCAAGGTAATTTAGAAAATAATGTATATTTATATTGTTATTACAAACTGGTTAAAGATGACAAAAAAAACCCCAAGAAATGCATTTAAACAAGAGATCATACAGAAATGAAATGCACAGAGAAATAAAAACAGGATAGAATAAATCATCATTCCTTAGTTATCCTGAATAAATAAGAGCCTTACAGCTGTTCGCTAAGAGAAAGGGAAGAGAGTTATGAAGTGCCTTCAAACGTGCATTCCTTGGATAACTGGGTCTATCCATCCTGGTAAATACAGATGGAGGCATGTGGGAAGGGAGTCAACATCTCCCCAGCACCCTGTGTCTGACAATTCCAAGAATAAACTGGATGTGGCTCAGAGTTTACTTTCTCTCCTTCACAAATGATAAATCAACCTAACACTTTAATGCATCTTAAATCAGAGGGAGCAAAAAGCACACGCTTAAAGTATATATCTTAGGCATGAATTTTACAGGTCTAGTGGAGACGGCACTAAGCTGGAAGTCAGTACTCTGCAATTAATTAAGGGAGGTAGAATGCACTATTAAACTTCTGCTGTGTATCATGTTCTCATGTAAGTTTGGGATAATACCCAACTTATAAGATTGACTGTAAACATGAATAAGCACTTGGGAAACTGAAAAACACCACAAAATGCACAGGGACATTATGATGAAGGCTCTTTTCTCTTCCAGATCCTAGGGAACCACTAGGCTTATAAGCAGTACAACTGCAAACCAGCAGTTTGAGACGAAAGCCCACATACCTCAACAATATGCCCTAATGCCTTTAAAAAAATCAGCTTTTACCAATTTTTAGATAGGAACAACAAATATATTTAAGAAAAAAAGTTCTTAGCATTGAGCCTGGGCCAGAGTAAGTACTCAGTATATATTTGTTGCTATTATCATTTTAAATTATAATTATTTTAAAAAATTCAAATTGACATATTAATGTTCCTTGAAAAGAAGCAAAAAGAGATTTCTAACATTTAGGTCCAACAAGAAATATCCTGTGAAAAGCTTAAAAAGAACAGCTAAAAAAACTTTTAGAAATGCCTAATATGTTTCATCAATCATAAAATAGAGAATAAGGCAATTTTATGGATATTTTGGGGGATATATTTAACTTCTGTTTATATGTGCAAGTCCATTTGGCTATTTCAACTAATTACCAATCAAATTAATAAGGAAAAAAGTTAAAAAACAAACAAACAAAAAAAAAAACCAACAAAAAAAACAATGCAGGTCTGTGTTTTGGACTGTAGTTAAAAAATAAATTGAATGCTATACTGTGTTTATCTTTGCTCCAACTAAGCCCATAAGAGCCTGATAGTCAGCAATAGCAGTCTTTGGAAATATTCATAGACTGTTTAGTGTATTATGAAGAAATGACACATTAGTACAAGAATATAATGTGGACATTTTCTTAAAAGTTCAATTTCCTTTTTCTGGAAGTTCACTTCTCTTTTAAAGAGAAACTTCTAGAAAATGTACAAATTTGAATATGAAGAGGTGACAAGAAGACTCAGGTTTTAAGTTCATCAGCAGGTCAAGTAAGAAGAGTACTTTAAGAAAACTATCCTGTCCATCTGCTGTATTAGAGTAAACACTCGTACTTACCCCTTGGCCAACCGCAACCCGTTCCAATGCCTTTAGAGAAAAAATAAGGAGAAAAAAGTAAGACAAAGACTGCTGGTATATTTAGTCTTATCTTATAAGACTTATAAACACACTGTATAAAGGCTTATAAAAGTGACATTTAAAAAGATTAATTAAGTGATAATGTGTAAGTTTACACATTTACAAGTGTTAATATCATTGAGGAATGTTAACCAGTATAGTTGTATACTCTAGGGTTGATTTATAATAGGTGTGTGTCATGTACACAAACACATACACACCCAATTGTATATACTCCTTGAATTTTAGAAAGAATAAGAAAACGAAAGAAATAAAAGAACATGGTCTTGGCTCACTTTTAGCTGTTTAGCTGAAACAATCAAATCCAAATCTATTATTATATGTGTGTATATAATAAACATGTTTATATACTACTTCTAAGTGTATTCTCTTCTAATTTTTTATAAACATATAGTTGCCTTTTATTATACAAGGTTTTATTGAACAGATTATAGCTGAAAATTTAGTTTAGAATAGTATGTATAGTTTTGGTTGGCCTGGTCTACAAATTCAAATCAAAGTCACATATGATCAAGTGCCCAAAAGAGAAAGAATACATATTTTTACAATTTTCTACATAGCTGGTTTTACATTTATATTTATTTAAGATCCAGATGATTTTACAAACTATTTCCTCATATTTCCAGTAAATATGCATAACCCAACATATATAAAAGATACATCTGAAAGATTTATCATAGTTTCAGTATGGAATAAATGCTTCTAAAACTTCCATTTTTAAGAGACATACATTTCTACATTTATGAAGTTTTATAACTGAATTACATTAATATTTCAATATTTACCTTTATTTTTTAAATTTTAATTAGAAAATATTTCAAAATAGAGTAGTAAAATATAATAGATCTACATATACTTCCTATTCAATTTTAGAATACCCATGTTTGCTTCAGGTTGCTATTCTTCATTAATAATAACTGTTAGATATAGCTGAATCACATACTTTTAAAACTGAAAGACAATTTACAGATTATCCTGTGTAAGTACAATTTTTGCAGAGGCACAAGTTCACTGGCAAGGTAAAATAAGTTGCCATAGTTGTATAGCTAGTTAGCAAGTGAGCAGGAAGTAAAAGCTTGTTCTTTGAACCTTACCTTCACCTGCCCTCATACCACTAAGATTTAGTGGGAAAAGGAGTTCACTGTATATAAGAAGTTGCTTCGCAGAAATTATTTGAAGAAAAAATTTATAATTCTCCAAAGACTTGAACGATACCTTCACCTAACATCTAGAGCCAGAGTTTTAGGAATACAGGAGCAAATTATTATATAATTTTCATATTAAATTAAATAGCAACAGGCCCAGAATAAGTTTATTATTGAAGAAAACATTGATTTTCTTTTACAGTACTGTCTGTGCTCATTTCAGATTAGATTTTTGTGTTACAGCTTTGGCTAACAGGCTGAACTGAATAAAGAAACATGGGTTTTTAATAATAAATTGTTTGGTGTTGGTAAAAGTGTCTACTTTTAGATAAGAATAACTAGTTAAAAGTAGTCAATACCAAGACTACTTTTAGTATGTGTTGCTGATGACGGACTTTAGAAATACAAATGATAAATTTTGGTTACATAATAAAAGATAACCAGGTAGGTGATAAGAAGTTTCTTGCAAACATTAGTATTTTTCTTGGCCAATAAATAAAGATAATGAAGAAAATATATACCAAGTGTTAATCGAAAATATTTTGCAGTTTTATCAGGCTTAAAGTATGCTGACATGATTGTGCTAATCTAATTGAAATTTATCTCTGGTTAGTACCCTTAACAATTTTTCAAAGCATCACCAGAAAGTTCTCCTTTCTCGATCTCTTTTTTTTTTTAACCCCTGTAACTTTGATTATTTGTGGAAAAGGTCAGTTATGGAGTAAAATACAATTAACAAAAAGTACATCAAAAAAATGTTCCTTAGCAACCAAAAAAGAAGCCAAGGTAGTCAGGGACTTCAATGGAGCCAAGGAGAGGGGCATTCCATAGGAAGCTCACATTGGGCAGAGAAAGTTATTAAGTGCAGTGTGGTCTATACATTAAATATTCTAAAATTTATTTTTCAAAACCTCTTCTTTATGTTTCTTTGAATGTTTATTTTTATAACAAACATTTTTGTTTTGTGGGTACCATATATTCTTTTACCTCTGTAAGGGATATTAATAGTTATTTTATATTATTTTATTTTGTATAGTCTCCATTTCCTCCAAGTTGCTTTTCTTCAGTTTTTCTGATCTCTGTTCTTTCATGTTAGATTTTCCTTATACATCTAGTGATCCTTGGCTGTCTGTTGATAATTAAAATGGGGGTATTGTAAATGTGATTAGAAGTACTGTGCTTATGAGTGAGGACTGTTACTTGTGGGCTTTATCATAAAGGTGACATGTGTCCTGCTTTATTGTAAAATCCCTGATGCCAGCATCATTAGGTCTTTTTTCTTAGGTTAGTCAGATTCCCTAATTTCTTGCCTGAAGGGTATAATCCTGGCTGCTGCATTCTGAGAACTAAGTCATTTCAAGAATTACTTGTCACTATAACATGACCCCGAATAAACATTACTAGCAGATATAGTGAAAGAACAAGATAATTTCCAAGAAAAGCATTTTAAGAGGACTTTAAAAATTATTATTTGAGCATAAATAGATTTCTATGATAATACTAGGATCTGTGACCTAGAACACTGGTGTGCTATTTTTTATATTGCTGTATAAACTGGCAGAGAAATAATGGTCATAGAATAATTAATTTATCTTGGGGTTGGACATCAAACACATTATTTAATCAACTATATTTGAAATTTCTAATGACAAAAAATAACTTAGATGTTTTAATGTGCACCTATTCTTTATAAACTAACATAACACCATGAACAGAGAATACCACAGGTTAAAGTGTTCTAGGTGTAAGGACACAAGCCAAATAAGGCACATTAAAGGCTTTATTTAATTAGATAGTTACTTCCAGGTACCTTATTAATATCTTTCCCATTCTATAAAAAATTAGGAGGGGCGCCTGGGTGGCTCAGTCGGTTAAGCGTCTGACTTCAGCTCAGGTCATGGTCTCACGGTTTGTGGGTTGGAGCCCCGCATTGGGCTCTGTGCTGACAGCTCAGAGCCTGGAGCCTGCTTTGGATTCTGTGTCTCCCTCTCTCTCTGCCCCTCCCCCACCCATACTTTGTCTCACTCTCTCTCAAGAATAAACATTAAAAAAAAAATTAGTAGACCAAATGATCTACTATAAACACATACAAACATACCACAGAACTGTGAATAAAGCGCTGAACTAATTCGGTGTTTAATACTTCATAGCTGGTACATTTTATATGGTAATTAAAGTAATTATATATAAACAATTATATGTAAAAAAGTATAACTATAAATTGTTACCACACTGCATGTAAAGTAGATAATGCTGGAAGGGCAAGTCATTTTTTAATCAAAATTTGCAATGCACAAAAGCATTAATAATGATGCTCTGCAAAACTTGGCATTTAATTCATGATATCAGCCAACAATAATAAATTCTGTAACATCTGGATAAAGTTCTTAGTCCAGAAAAAAATATAATCATACCAAACATGCTGACATTCTGGCATTACGACCACAGCACCATCTCTCTTCCTTTAAATAATGGCACATTGGAAATCCCCACTTGTCTTGGGTGCTTTCTGCAGATGGAGGAAAAATATGGATTATTTAAATAAGATTCTTCCTCTTTCAGTTAAAGTAAACAATCTATTGAGAAAGAAAAGCAGTTATTGAGAGAGTCAAACAGTAGTTAAACATGGAGGTAGTAATGTTTAACAGTTCATTCCAATCTGTTAATTGAAAGCATATTAATGTTATGAAGGTGGTATTTTCAACAACAGCTGTTTTGTGTTTAAGCTCTAGGTCTGATACTAACCAATTTGCCAAAATTGTTTTTTCTAAGATTTAGCAAGAGCAATTTAAAATGGAAGTACTCTTTATGTTCAGTGTAACTATAGGAAATAAGTAATGAGATTCTTGCCATTTATTGCTGACCTGACTTTCTAAAAAAAAAAAAGATTTATTAAATGAAATTTGGCAATTTATTATAGAACAATATTAATTCATCCCTAACAATGATGAAGCATCAATTATTTTTTTCAGCCACTATATTCGCTTTCCAGAAAAAGAACAGCTGTATAAGCTCTTCTTTCTTCCTTGTATTAACAGGCTGCAATATTTTCAATTGTGATTCAATTTGGCTCAATTGCATATATGATTTAAGTAACAACAACAATAATCAACATTCACGGTTTAATCACACATATCTTTTGCCCAACTCACTTACAGAGTTGTGTACATGATTTGCTGATGTTCAAACCCTTAATGCAAAACTATTAATTACACAGGGGTTTTGAAAAGGAAAACAAATGAGTTTCTTTTTTAAATTGAAGCCTGGAAAATAAGAGCTTAAATTTTATCAAGACTATGACAATTAAAAGAAAAATAAGAAAAATATAAATTTTCTATTAGGTTAAAAAGTAAAAATAGAATTAAAACTTTGAAAACATAAAAAACTCTTTAAAAGAAAATACTGTTGAAGTAGATTCAACTAAATACATTTCTCTGCTATAAAGGATCAGATGACTTTTGATTAAAACAGAGAAAGTTTAAATTTCATGAAGATCATAAGCCTGTGAAAGTGGTTTCCTTCTGTTCATAAATTAAGATTTATGATACACCTTACTGATAATCAGATGGAAGATATGGACCTTCCTCTGGGAATATAAATAATAATAATGCTAGTGTTTATACAGCACTTAATATTGTGAGGCACTATTGTAACTGCTTTAAATGTATTAACTACTTTTAGTCCCTACAGCAATTCTATGAGGTAGGTACAGTACTATATGCATGGTTCAGCTAGGGAAACTAAGCGCACACAGGTTAAGTAAACTGCCTAAGTTGCAAAATATAGCACATGGTGAGGTAGGATTTAAACCTAGGCAATCAGGACTCCAGAGGCCATGCTCTTAACCACCAAGCTATATAAACAACTTCAATTACAAATGCATAGGACTTGTGGAGCCCTTGAAGCCTATCCAGATCCTGGGGATCCTTGGACTACTTCCTCTATTTCCTAGATGACCTGAAATAGCAAGTTGAGTTTTATTTAAGGTTTTACAATTTTACTGAGATGTGATTACTGCTAAATGAAAGAATAACTGTAAAGTTTTTTTTTCTTATAACCAAAAAGAGAAATATCTAGAGCTTACTGTAAAGGGTAAGGGGCTAGAGAGATAGGTTTGTGCTATTTTATTAAGAATAGTTAGGAAACATGCTAACCAATAAAATAGTTGGGTCTTGCCTGTCGCCCCCCTCCATCCCACATCCATTCTCTTCTTGTAGACAGGAATAGAGATTAAAGGCATGATGGGATTAGTCCTGGCAGTCTTTAGAAAGACAGTGGTGAAGCTGTGAGTGTGTGGTAGGGGGAAGAGAGGGGTGGGAATTACTCAGAAGAATGCAGAGTTTTGGGATTCCCAATTGATTTCTAGTAATAAAGGGAAGATGAAGGCAGGGATACATAGGATTCCTGGTATCCCTCTCTATTTTAGATGACACAAACATGGAAGCCAGCAGAAAAGACTTCTGAACACATGGGGCTGTCATTAGAAAAATGGAGGCTAGTAAAAGATGGCCTTACTTCACACATGTTCACTAATTTGTGCTGATGAAGGTGATGAGAGTAGAGAAAGGTTATGGTGTTCCTTAGGGCTCATAAACCTACTCTTTACTCCCACAATAAAGGCCTATATAGAAGGGTAATTTTTGTGTATAAGAGAGCTTCCTCTCCAACCCTACATTAACTGTAGTGGGAGAAGGACAGTCTTACTCAATGTATATGGCTCCCTGAATCCCTAGCCAAAACACCTAAGATCCTAGGGCAGTTTATAGGAACTGCCAGCCTTGGCTCAGGGCTATGTGAAATGTCATTAAAGCCTCTCTCCTTTGGACACCTGGTGGTTGTGGAATCTCCTTGAAGTTTTCTGAATCTACATCACAGTTTCCTCTGTGACTGAGGTCATGGTGGCCTCACAGTTCTGCTCATTTTTTAACAAAGTGCAAACAACTGATACAGAGACAAGACACCCTCAAAGTCAAACAAAGCCTTTCATGTACAGGTTCAATATTATCTTTGGAACCTATTTCACCAGCTTCATTCTGACTGCAGTGAAGAATGAAGCTCCCTTCTATGTCCTGAATCAAAGGCACAGAGTTCACTGTTTCTATTGTTATATATTTATCTCCTATTTAACTGTGTTCATAAATTCAGATCTAGTCAAAGTGAGCTTTAACCACCTTTATCAGTTATTTCCCCGGGGATCACTTTTATGCTATCTTTAAATGATAGTTTTGGAATAGATGAAGTCTCCTTTTTTTTTTTTTTTTTCATCTATCCCATTTCTTCTCTGTTGGCTTTAGAAATCCATCCATCTCATAAAAGTAGAGATTCTACTAATTTTTCCTTCTTATGTTAATAATATTACTATCTACTTAACTAAACAAGTTTGAACTTTAGAACCATCTTCTATTATTCTTTCCTTTAATCCCCCAGTTCTCTTAGTTATATCCTTAAACATATCCTCTTAATTATACCTTCTTTTCATTTTCAGTCTTCATTAGCTTTTGACTAGGTAAATGTAATACCTACTAATTCTTTTTCTTTTTCCTTTAGTCTTGTCCATCCTTTACATTAAGAGTAACATTATCTTTTTAAAATAGACACATCTAACCATGTTACTCCAACAGCTCTTGCTTCCCTCACCACTAGCATCTATGAGATAAAACCCAGTACTTTTCTTACTGTGAATTTCAGGAGGTTCTGATGCTCCCTCTTTATAACATTCTCTTCCTCTGGTTCCATGATACCATGCTCTCTTATTTGAGGCCTGATGCTCATCATATCCCCTGACAGTTTGTTATTTTCTGTCTATTAAGTTAGACATAAGGATTAATGCATAAGGATTAATCCTACCTCACCCTTTATACTTTTTTGGGGAAAGATTTTGCAAACTCAAGTGCTTTCAGTTGGTAAATAAGTGTGTGAAGCAGCTAGATACAATAAAATAGGTAATCATCAATTTTCATGGTAACCAAGTATCACATTTGCCCAGTCTTATTGCTATTTAAAGAACAATTGGAGCGTAACACAACTGTCAAAATTGCCAAAAATGGGCCCGTGGGCACTATCAGAGCCAGTGTGCAACCCCTGTTCTATCTGTGTGCTTTCCCTAGGCAGCCTTACCTATACCTCAATTTACACTGACAATTCCTGGATTAATTTCCTAGGTCAGCTATAACAAATTACCATACACTTGGTAGCTTAAAACAACAGAAAGGTATTCTCTCACTGTTCTGGAGGCTAGAAGTCTGAAATCAAGGTATGGGCTGGGCCATGCTCCCTCTGAGGCTGTAGGGAAGAACTTTCCTTGCCCTTTCTTAGGATCTAGTGGTTGCTGACAATCCTTGGCATTTCAGGGCTTGTGGCTGTACCACTGCAGTTTCTGCCTCTGTCGTCCCTCTGGGTCTCTGTGTATCCTCTCCTCTTCTTATGAGGACACTAACTATTGGATTTAGGGTCCACCTTATTCCAGTATGACCTCATGTTAACTAGTTACATCTATAAATACCCTATACCTAAATGAGGTCACATTCTGAGGTTCTGAGTTGACACGACTTTTTGGGAGACACTATTCAACCTACTCCAATTCCTAAATTATATCTTCAACCTCTTCTTTAAGATCTAATTCTGATCACCAATAGCCTAACCACCAACTCCAAATGGATATTTCATTGGCACTTGATAATCAACATGTCCAAAATCTAAATAACTGAATGACACAAAACCAGATGTCCTAAAGTTTCCTATTTCGGTGACTAGCATCAACGTTTACTCATTTACATGAGTCAAAAAGCTCAGGAATCTTTTCACTTTCCCATATATAGCATGTTTTAGAAATTCCAGTTTATTTTTCTCCTAAATGTTCCTCAAATCCATTAATATTCTCTATTTCCACCATCCCAAACTACCTGCACTGCTATGAAAGCCTCTTGATTGGTTACCAACACCCACTCTTGCTCCTTATTTCAGTTTTAATATTGCAAAGTGATATTTTAAAATATAAACTTCATCAGTTCCCTTCCCCGCTTAATAGATCCTTCTTTTCCTTTCAAGATTAAAAACCAAGAAACAGACACTTAACAATAGAGAACAAACTGATGGTCACCAGAGGGGAGATGGGTGGGAGGATAGGTGAAATAGGTGACAGGGATTAAGGAGAGCACTTGTTTTGATGAGCATCAGGTGATGTATGGAAGTGTTGAATCATTATATTGTACACCTGAAACTAATATTACATTGTACGTTAACTAACGGGGATTTTTAACTAGAAACTTAAAAGAACACAAAAAACAAAAAAAAACATTAAGACTCTGTTCCTTAATGTGATCTGCTTGTGCCTACCTCTCCAGCTTCATTTCATACCTTGTTCTCTGTTTCAGCCTTTTGTTCCACTTTCAGTTCTCTAAACTGGTAAAATACCTATCTCAAAGCTTTGGAATTTTCTACGGTAAGCCAGAGATTTCCATACTATACCTCATGATTCTCCTACACCTATATCTTGTAAATAGCCCCTTT